AAAATGTTGTGTTCCTTTGTCACGGTCATCGAAACTCGAGAACCGCTGAACTGATTTGAATATTTTTTTTTTGTATTGTTCGGTATCATAGCAGGATCATTTATATTACAAAAATAAATAAATTAAGTATTTCAATATTAAGGTTTTCGGCCGAAAATATATTTGAGGAGGGTTGCCACCTGTTTGAAAATTTAACTCAATTTACATAATTGGTAAAATAAATGACTTATTAAAATATAGGTATTAAATTAAGAAAGTTTAAGATAGATGACTGTTGGAAATATTTTTGAGAGTTGCCACCTTTTTGAAAATTTTAACTCGAAAGCTTAGTATGTTGCACCAATGTATTTTCAATATAAAGCGATAAAATAAATAAACCAACGAAAAATTAGTCCCTTGTCAAATATGTTTGATTTATTATTATTTTTTTATGGATATGTAAAAATGTAGAGCGGGTACGGACGATGTGTGGTGGCTGACGGCCGTTCCTGGTTGAATACGGGAAAATAAGTACCCGCGCTCTTTTCAATAGAATTGAGTTCAACCTCAAAGCAGTAAAACTGTTTGGAGGGGAGGTTAAAAAATAGTTAATTTGGCGGGAAAATTTATGACAGTTTCTAATAAATAAATGTGTACATTAGAGTGGTCCAAAAAAATAAAGTCGGAGTTTTAATGCCGGCACACCCTATCGAAAAAATATACCCCTATTTTTTTATTTTGAAATCAAAAAATATTTAGGGAGTGCTCAAAGCGTTCAAAGTTTTCCATGTATTTTATATGGAGAAAAAACAATTTTTCGTAGAAATTGTATAAAACTCTTGAAAATCAATATTTTTCGACCGGAAAACTATGGTTCTCTTCAGGAGACTAATATCAAATTGTTTATTTATTTGATTTTCAAGAATTCTACACTATTTCTACGAAAAGATGTTTTTTCTCCATATAAAATACATGGAGAACTTTGAGCGCTTTTAGCACTACCTAAATTATTTTTTATTTCAAAATAAAAAATATGGGTATATTTTTTTCGGTATATAACAATCCTAGGGGGTGGCGGCATTAAAAATCCGACCTTATTTTTTTTGCATACATTTTTGAACCACTTTAGTGTACATTTATGCGTCCATATGTACCTATATTATTAAGCATTAGGGTGGACCGTTTTGGATTGATTAAATAAATGAAATATTGCAATGTGGGTATCAAACTAAAGAGTTTTAAGAAGACTTACAATCGAAAATATATTTGAGGAACAATATGGGTGCCAAACGAAAGGTATTTGAAAAATCTTGATTTGGAAATATTTTTTATAGGGTTATCATCTATCTATCTAGGGTTATCATCTATCTAAGTAAAGACTGAAAATATTGAAATTAAATGAAATATTACATAACTGGTTCCAAACGAAAAGTATTTGGGAAAGCTTTACTAGGGAACTTTATTAAATCTTTCCACTTATCCAAAATCCGAACATTGTAAATAAATATAGAATTTACAACATCTTATCAAACGAAGTGATCATATTATCAACGAAGAGCTGGTACACAAATTAGTTAATGTAAAAAACTCATAAACAAGTAACTTTTAAGCAAACAACACACCGACTCCAATTCTCATATAAAAGTGTAATAGTAACGTTAATTTTTTCATGATCCAATGATCGGATCTAAACCAAATTAGTATGGGATCGCCTGGAAATCGGTTGACGTGGTCCAAAGTTATACGGTAACATACATAAAAAAAAATCCGACGAATTGATAACCTTCTCTTTTTTTTTAAGTCGGCTAAAAACTACTGAAACAAATAACAAAATGATAAAAGAGTACCGAAAACAAAAAACTATCGCATGAAAGCGGTATAAAAAATACTTAATGAAAACATAAAATTGTTGACACCATGCCCTAGCATTATAAATCAGTCAACTTTTAATCGTAAGCAATTTCGTTTGGGGTAGCCAAGGCCTACTACGTATATTGCGAGTAAAGAAATTTTGAATAACATGAGATAATATTATTATGATTATGATTATCATTACTATTGTGAACTCCTATTCCCAATCAAGGATTCCCAAATTAAAGCGAAAGCAGAAGAGCATTTACGATCGCATGATGCAAATGTTAAGATAATAAGAGCTGCAGAACTGAACCATGTAGGAACATTTTTTTTACAAGGGCGTGTAGTTTCTGGCATGTACCGATGACATCGACATCAACGCTAACAAAAATAGCGAAGTCTCTTCTGCCTTTTCCAAGCTGGATAAGGAAGCAAAGCGAATGCGCCTGGTGGTAAACGTGGACAAGACGAAGTATCTCCAGTCACCGCGTTCGCGCCTTGGAACCCACGTCACTGTTGACAGTTATAATTTCGGGAAAGTGGAGAATTTCTTTTACTAGGGAACCAGCACTATCACCGATAAAAATATCAGCATGGAAAACCCACGCAGAATTACTCTTGCCAACAGGTGCTGCTTTGGACTGAGTAGGCAATTGGGGAGTAAAGTCCTTTCTCGACGTACAAAAACCGCACTCTATAAGTAACTCATCATGCCCGAGCTGTTATATGCCGCAGAAGCTTTGACAATGACAACATTTTATGAGGCGGCTCTTGGGGTATTCGAGAGAAAGATCTTACGGAAGATATAAAGGCTTCTACGCATGGGCGACGATGTTACCGTAGACGATGGAACGATGAGTTGTATGAGCTTTACAACTAAATGTATATAGTGCAGCGAATGAATATAGAGCGGCTCCGCTGGCTTAGACATGTCGTTCAATAGGAACCGAAGTTTCAGGTGTAAAAGAATCAACTCGCAAGCCGAGGGTGGTAGCAGACGAATAGGAAGCACCCATGGCAATGGAGAGACCAAGTTGCCACAGAGAGAAATGACTGGCGTTCTTTGTGAAGCTCGGCCAAAATGGCTTAGGTGGTTACAAAGCCAAAGTAGAAGAAGAATATGCAAATGATAAATTACGGAGTTGGGGGACCATTTTCTTGGATGCGCCAGGAGGAACTAGCAAAATATTCCTTATCAGATGGATTCTGGCAACGGTTCAATCAAAAACTACATTACCTAAGCTATCGCTTCGTCTGGAATTGCTGCGACATTATTACCAGGTGGCAACATTGCCAAATCAGCTCTTTAGCTGCCATTGAACATATAAATCATCGAAACTCCCACGTGCAATATTTCCAGAGCATCCGGTATGAAAAAAGTTTACCAAAAAATTAAATTCATTGTTTGGGATGAGTGCACCATGGCACATAAAAAATCGTTTGAGGCTTTTGATCCATTGTTGCGGGATTTGCGTGGAAACGTTCAACCATTCGGGATATTGCTCGCAGGAGATTTTAAGGAAAGGAGAACTGATCGAAAGAATGTTTCTTTATTAAGAAAATTAATTTTAGGAATCACGATTGGCTCATTGAACGGGCTATTCTTGCTGCGAAGAATAAGGAGGTCTATCAACTAAATAGTAGTGGTATTGATAACAGTCGTTGCTTGACCTGATCAGCTCTTTTACTAGACTGCCAGACCACTTGCTCACTGTGGTGAATACCACTAATGTTATTCAATCCAGCATTCAACGTGAGGAAATAGCATATACGTCGATAAACACCGTTGTGGAAAAAGACCATCCAACGAAATTTTTGAACCCGATTAATCTTCCAGGGAGACCTCACATACTGAAATTAAAAATAGGTTTGACAGTTATCATGTTGCGGAATATTAATCAGCGAAAACTCTGGAACGGAATGCGACTCGCAGTTAAGAAATTGGTGAAGAACGTAATGTAAGAAAATATTTTAACGTGGCCTTTCAAAGGTGAAGAATTCCCATGATTCCATTTAATGATGATGATTCAAAGAAGATTTGAATTCCCAATTCGATTGACATTCGGAATCACAATCAATAATGCTCCAGGTCGAACTTTGGAAAAGTATGGTTTAGGTTTAGATGCGGATTGCTTCTCAGATGTTGCGTGTTCCTGTGTCGGCAAACCAGATATCCTTGATATCTATGCAGAGAATGGAACAATAACAAATATTGTGTGCAAATATGAAATGTATGCTTTGTTTCGTTAATAATTTATCGTCCATATAACAGAAATATGCCACAGCAAAGCGTGGCAGGGTATAGCTAGTTTCATAATAAATAGATTACCCGGGCACCCTTTTCGTTTGGAAAGAGATTTATTATCTGAAAGAAGTCTGATGAGGAAATGTGGTGATTTCCGAAATAGCTATCACTTCTACAATTTTTTCAAGTTATTGTTGCTTTTCCACAATAAGTTTTCACTAAAAACGGCCCCAAGCTCATACAAATAGTTGAATATAATTGTTATAAGGCCATAAAAATAACAAAAACCAATAACTTAAAGACGAGCACACCTAATTAAAAAAAAGTTAGACATTCTAATAATAGAAATATTAACAAAAACCAACAAAACCAACAACCACATGATCAAGTGAATTGCAGCGGAATAGATGCGCTTGACTGTAGTTGGCTTAGCAAA